CTTTGGCTACTCTTTTACCAACGAATAGTGGAATTGACCTTCACATTATAACGCACCCACGGCTAAAAGGGCGAGTATGTTTGGTGTAACGGGGATTCGAAACCGCGACCCTCAGATTGCGAGTCGACCGCCCTAACCACCTGGCCATGCCGGGCCAACTCTAAACAGACGTGAATAAGAAGCTGCTCGAATAATAGGCTGCACTGTCAATAAGAAGCCAGCTTCAGCCTCATCCACTACAAATCATCTCAACTATTTTTTTTTTTTGACAATTATTAAAATATATCTCTAAACTGTTTATTTCTAAGAAACTTTCATATCATTTTGTATGCCGCTCACGTGATGTTAGTATGTGACGAATTTTGTTGTTATTACAAAGTTACACGAGGGCTATCTGAGCTAGACTGCCCTGATTTAGAAGTGATAGGCTAGAGAGAGAGCAACTTTTCAACACCACCCATCGCCAACTCTTGGGCTACATTTTTACAAATGAATAGGGGGACTGGCCATCACATTTTAACGTACCCATGGCCGACAGAAGGAGAAGGTTCGGTGTTGATCTCGCAACCTGTCCTAACCACCCAATCAAAGAAGAAGTGCACTTGACTAATTATTTCAGTAACCATTTGTCACTTAGCTAATTACAAATGGTTACTGAAATAATTAGCTAAAGTGACAAATGGTTACTGAAATAATTAACTAAAGTGACAAATGGTTACTGAAATTCCTTTACTCATTATTTCATCAAATCAATGATTGTATGTTGTAATATATTTTTTAACTTCAAGTTTATTTTGCAAAAGCTATGAAGTAAAGTAAAGATACTGGGTGTTTTGTTCTTGTTGATAAAACGTGGCATTTGTTTGCATGTAAAGATGGCTAAAACTAAAGTTATTAAAACTTAAAATAACAACAATATTTTCCACTGAAACTCAATCTTAAGCATAATGCATTTTTCGGACAACTTTTGATTAAGTTATCCACTGTCATGTGGACTTTTGCCACTGAGCTCTATGTTCGCGGGCTCCGACTTGTTATAAGACATCCCTCTTCTCTTACCACGTTGGGGTAAAACGTGCTTCAAATTGCTTTCTAGATGGTCCTGGTACCCTACATTTATCCGTACTTCTTTATTTTCCAAAGCCATTAAGTACAAGAGGTATCACAATCTTGGTAATTCTAAATCTCTGATCTCAACACATTTTTATAATCTGAGTTTGTGAATATTTTGCATATGTTTCCCAGAAGCGATTAATTTTAGATTGCATCACACTACCCATGTACTAATCACCAATGTCTAAATGTACTTCTGATACATGCCATACCACTGCGACTTTATACCTGCGTGTTTGTCACGTGATTTGTAATTTGCATATTCAAGTTAATTTTTATATAATGCATTCAATCCTAAACTCAGAAGTGGGATACTACACATATCTATTGTTACGACAGCGGAAGTCACATGGCGCTAGTAGCGTGCATGAAGTTTATCGAATTATCAGGAAAATCCTCGAATGATCGAGCCGCCTCCTTGTTAGTCTGGCAGAAAAGCTGGTGGGAATGACTGTATTGCTACGACAGTGGAAATCGCGCGACGCTGGGAGCATGAGCGCTGGAGTTTCTCGAAGGATCATCAAGGCCGGAGTGCATTCGAGACGCCCTCTTTTTAGTATATAAGCCTGGCGAGAAAACCAGTGCGATTGAAGAGATATAGTTAGATTAAAGATATAGATAATTGAGTAAAGTGAAAAGTAGGCACCCGTAAGTAAAGTGTGTGAATCACTGTCATATATAGTATGCATTATAAAAGTAGTTAAATTTAACGTTCTGATTGGAAATTCTGTCTATTACAAAGTTATATTGAGGAAAATTGCTTTGATGGAAGCAATACAAGAACAGCAAAAGAAACAAGAAGAGAGATTACAGCAGTTGTTGGAGGAAAAAGAAAAGAAACAAGAAAAAAGACAACAGCAGTAACAAGACAACCTGCAACAGTGGCAGCTCGAACAGCAAAATGAACAAGAAGATAGATTACAGAAGTTGTTGGAGGAAAAAGAAAAGGAACAAGAAAAACGAAGAAAATAAACAAGAGAAACTACGGCAGTGGTTGGTGGAGGAAAAAATGAACAAGAAGAGAGACTACAGCAGTGGAAAGAAAACCAGCACCAGTGGCAACTGGAACAAGAAAAGAAACAACAACAGTGCAAGAAGTACAAATGGAAATGAATAGTCAATTTCAAAGTGAATTAAATACATTAAAGGACGATTTACTGTCCTTTACACAGGAAGGATATATTTACCATGGACCAACTCAGCCCCAGACAACAGGAAGCCTCTTCCAGACCCCGCAGCTAAACCCTAATGCAGACATCTTCAGTCCTGCCAGAAGTCATATTCCAGACATGAGTGTCAGCAATAGGGGTGATCTATTAGGGTGCCCAGGTTTGTTACAGTGCCAGCAAAGTCCCTCAAACCTCTCTGAAAGCTCACCTTTTCTGGCATTG